CACTCTTTGAACGTTCAAGAAATCGTCACCACCAGGAATACTGGAAATCGAACTGACATTATTATTTCCGAAAAATTTGGAATCTTGAGCATGAAATCGAAATATTGCGATGTTATTGTACTGCTGCATTATACGAGAACTATACTTATTCAGTCATACAATCAATGTTGATGAGGGTCAAGTTCAAATGATTTCAAAGGATTCCGATCGATAAAATAGAAAGAAATCGGCTGACCTTGCCGAACGAGAGACAATTAGCTCAACTTGATTATCGTTCTTCGATGAGCTTATGATCTCATAAACTTGATCGAATGTTGCGTTTTGCAGTTGATGTCCATTCCACTCCAACACTTCATCACCTCAAATTGCATATCATCAATAGACAAATGCATAAATCGCCGGTTTCTCATCATTAATACAAATACATCACGTGCTAGTTATCACTTCATTATTTCCTTCATTGAGTCTCGTCAAAAATTCTAAACAAAATGAACAACATTGCGTTTCTAACCAGCTCGTAACCGTCCAACGGTATCTGCGACAGAGCCACTTTTAACTCGTGTTATGAATGCACCGAGTCGACCTGTATCAGAACGTCGTCCTCCGACAACCTTCAAACATTTGCCTTCTTGTTGAGTATTTACTAATATAAATTTCCGCTAGTGACATGCAAACGTTGAACTTTCAATTTTTTTCTTCATTCACAAAATATTTTCATATAAATCGCCAGCTCACACATACATGACTGTTACAATAGGCAACTGACATTGATGAACAAGCCGAATAAAACGATAGAACTTTTTAGATCATTCCAGTGCAATGATCATACTGTTAATGAGAATAACCACAACCGAACAATTGCTACTCAGAACTAACTCAAGATACAGTGATTTCATTCAAGGCTATTTCAGTACGTAGGACAAAATTTCTTGATGAATTCTCTAATTTGATGAAAAGCGAATGTACATTTCTTTTAATCGCCTTGTTTTAAAGAAAAGAAGTCATATCCATCCAAAATTTAAGTTCAAGAATTCATGCCGTCTTCTGGATCTGATAGAGAAGCAATTGAAAGCTCACCTTCAGCCCTAAATCTCCACCATGAGGTCCATCGGTTTTATGCAAAATCATATGACCAATTAATCTCCTCTGATCCGCAGATGGTTGCCACGTAACCGGATGCTGCAATAAGGATTTCCAGGAAAACATCTGAATTGATTTATTGGCTGAATTCATTTCCTCTTCGAAGTAACATGTTAAACAAGGACGAAACATTTGCTCAACAAAATTTTCTACTCGTGTTCGATGATAAATGAAATATTCGGACAAATAACGATAAATGAAATATTCGAATAATGAATTTCCATTTCTCATCGTTGCGATGCTTCGATATCTCATACTTCTCTAAATTTAATCATACACCTTCCATAAAATATAGCAATAAATTTCTCCATTCGATTATTCTCAAGAAT